CGTGCCTTTTAACGGATGGAACATGAATGTAGCATATGCTTCCGAAGACCTTCAAATGTTTGGCTGAAGGCTTTTGTCCCGACCATGCCTCAATAGGTGTTTTGTTTAAAACCGCCTTAGTTGGACACCGATTTAGAAGATAGACTGAAGTATATACTGCCTCTGGCCAGAACGTTTTAGGCATTCCTTTTTCAGCTAACATAGACCTTGCCATCTCCATGATTGTGCGTTTCTTCCTTTCGGATGCCCCATTTTGTTGTGGAGTGTATGCTACTGTTAGTTGATGCTCTACACCTTCATCTTCACAGATCTTGTCAAATTCTTTTGAGTTGTATTCGGTACCTCGATCGCTTCTCAATTTCTTGATTTGATGACCACTCTGTTTCTCCACGAAGTTCTTGAATCTCTTGAATATTCTAAAGACTTCGGATATTTCTTGGAAAAAATACACCCATGTCATCCTAGAGTAATCATCGATGAGGAGTATGAAGTACATGTTCTTCGAAACTGAAGGCGTGCGCATTGGACCGCAGACATCGGTGTGGACAAGCTCTAGTATCTGTTTGGCTCTCCATGTCTTTTCTGTTGGAAATGGTTGCCTATGCTGCTTCCCAACCATACATCCTGCACATACTCCTTCTTTTTCATCCAGTAGAGGCATGTCTCTCATCATCTTCTTTTGGTGTAGTAATCTCAAGGCATTGAGATTGAAGTGCCCAAATCTTCGATGCCATAGACTCGTATCACTTAGTTGAGCCACCATCGCCTTTTGTGGATATTGCCATTGAATAGGAAAATTTCTATTATTTCCCATTTTTACTTCAGCAATTTCTTGATTATTATTCTTGTCATAAATTTGGCAAGAATTTTTCTCAAAGTGCAAGGCATATCCACTTTCCATCATTTGGCCAACACTTAGTAGATTTTGTGCAAGGCGTGGCACTAGGAGAACGTTTCTAATAAAGCGCGTACCTTTCTTTGTATCTATGACAATGATACCTTTCCCCTTTGCCTCCACCAAATCGCCATTGCCCATCTTGACCTTTGTCTTGATAGAGGTGTCTAAGTCATGGAAGATGGTCTCGTTGGATGTCATGTGATTGCTGCACCCACTAACGATGTACCACTCTTCTTCTTTTGCTTCTATGGCTGAGTGACATGCGTAGAACATGTACTCCTTCTCCTTAAAATCTTCAGAATAGTTGGCCTGATAGTTTCTTCTATCTCTGCAATCTTTTTCTTCATGCCCGAACCTCTTTTAATTTCTGCATTGTGGCTTTCCTCGATGGTAGCAATCTTTCTCTAAGTGATTAGTCTTCTTGCATATTTTGCATGGTGGAAAGTTCGTCTTCCTCTCCTTGCTGTTAGAATTCCCATCTTTATGTGGTTTAAAGTTTTCACCATTTCTCGAGTGATTCCTTTTAATGTTGAGCTTAGACTGGAAGGCACTTTCTAATGAACTTTCGTGTCGTCTGTTCAGCCTTTGCTCATGTGCTTCTAGTGACCCCATTAATTCAGTGATGAACATTTTTCATAGATCTTTTGACTCCTCAATAGCCGAAACTACTGGATCATATTTTTCAGGGAGACTGATTAGGACCTTCTGGATTATTCTCTCGTCGGTTATGTTTTCTCTAAGAGTTTTCATTTCGTTGACTATATGTATAACCCAAGAGAAATAATCTTTTGCCATTTCAGAATCTCTCATCTTTAAATTTTCGAGCTCTCTTCTTAAACTTTGTAATTTAATAGTTCTAACTTTCTCATTTCCTTGAAATTCCTCCTTAAGAATATCCCAAGCTTCTTTTGCCGTAGTAGCACGAATTATTCTCGAGAAAATAGTATCACAAACGGATTGTTGAAGAAGATAGAGAGCTCTAGCATTTTGCTGTTTTTGTTTCATACGTACCTCGGAAGTTGATGCGTCGTCGCTTCCTTTTTCCGGCATGATGATTCCTTCTTCAACAATATCCCAGAGATCATGTGATTCTAGGCAAGTCTTCATACAGACACTTCAATAGTCATAGCTAGCTTTCTCCATTGAACATCGGAGTTGATACCGAGAAGCTTGATGTCGCCATAATGCCCGCTTATGATCGAACAAGCTCTGATACCACTTGTTAGAAAATAGAAGAGGTTGTTGGTCGTATGAGTAGAATAAGTGATTTTAGTGAGGTGTAATGTAGATGATGTGTTTTAGAGGAGAGTTCTTGTCTCTAGAAAAGTAGTATTGTATGATGTTTCTTGGTTTTGCTTGGTATGAAAATGAGTACAATGAGTCCTATTTATAGGAGCTAGAGGATCATTCTAGATCCTTATTAAATGCTATGATTCTAGAGTATTTTACATCTATGTCTAATTACTCTAGATTTTACATAAGAATTCTCTAGTAGAGAATTTTCTAGAATACTTTCTAGCTTTAACTCTCTAGATCATCTCTAGCCTTTTCTACATAGAATATTCTAGATAAATGCATCACTATTTAATAAATATTAACAATGAATTAGTGCAAGTTGATTTGAAAAAGTTTTGAATGTGTACGACAATGCCGCAATGTGAGGCTCAGTGATGTCAACCAGAAACCAAGCAAGTGTGAATTGCAGGACATCTGGAAAATGGACAGTGAGAGAGTTTGGGCATCCTGTGAATGTGCAACAAAAATATTAAAATTAATCAAGAAAGAACCAAAAGTCCAAAAAACACTACAAGAAAATAGGTTATTTACCCACACTCGTATGTGTTGGTAAAACAGTAGATATGTGTAGGTAATAATCTTTACCCACACATATTATAAGTGTTACGATGTGTGGGTACGGAAACGTAGACAAATGTTATTAGCTACACTTCCAATTATGTGTGGGTAATATTATTATTTATAGCTACACATGTATGCGTAGCTAAAACACTTCTAAATGTGTTGTTGTTGGTCATTTCAGCAAATAACCCGTGACATGGCATATGACGTGGAAGTACACATGGCTGATGACGTGGCTTGTGACGTGGCAATTCAGGTGTGACATGGATAATGACGTGGCATAACTGATGACTCTTAGCCGTTGCCACGTGGACATAAAGATGTGTGGGTAAAAGTTATATGTATGTGTGGGTAAATTGTATTTTAAAGGTGGGTAATAAAAGTGGGTAAAACTATTTCATTAAATATTATATTTATTTATTAAATACACATATCAAACAATTACATTTTGTAATAGGAACACGGGAATGGATAATATATTATAACGATAAATGTCATAGTTCAAACTAAAATATTCAATTTCAGCAAAGTATTAGCTAATCAAAAACTGCCAAACAAAATAAAACATTAACTAGCTGGTGCCACACTACAAAGTATTAAGTCTAATATGAATTTTGCTTCTAAACAATATTATCATATTCAGAAGTGGAGTCCTCATAATCGTCAACATGTTGGCCTCGATCAATAGAGGATGACCCACGATTAAGCGGTACTGAACAATGATCTGAAGGAACATGTGACATGGGACGCATAATATTCTTCTCAATCAACAACTTTTTCATCATTTCAACAGTGCCTGAAAGTTCTCCAACACGATCCATCAATTGAGTATAAGTTGGAATATTTGAATCACCTTTGCTTCTTTTGGACCCAGTGGGAGACCGTCCCCAACCAAATAGACGAACAGATTCTCGTCCAAGCACCTTCTCTAATATTTGTTTATCAGTTAAATCTTCAGGTGATTTTTCTCTTCTCAATTCCATCATTTCTTCCTGTTAAATTATGAATGGAATAGTAACAATTCATTAATCAGGTAAACTGTGAACATCAGAACATGCATGTATATATGTCAATAATGTAAAACTAATTAATTTGAATAAAAGATGTCGTGGTTAACACACACGGTCTGTGAAGTACACTTACATATTTAGATTCAGCTTCTACAGATACCCAACCACGTTCTGGATGCCAATGACGGAGACGCCACGTCTCAATATGACCAACATGAGCATTTAACTCAACCCCACGACTAATGTGATGGCGTGCTGTACTTTTAGATCCGTTTCTAGAAATCCATTTTCTTTTCTTACATGACTCAGCATTTGTAATACTTGAGATTTAATTTAAACGGATTAATAGTACTACTCATACCAACAAGGTGCATCTCCTTTTAAGGGAGCTCATTAGCCAAAAAAACTCCAAAGTTAAGCGTGCTTGCACGGGAGTAGTCTTGGGATGGGTGACCCCCTGAGAAGTTTCTTGGGGCGCGCACGAGTGAGGACAAAGTGCGCGGAAAAGGCTAGTGGCGGTTTGTGAGGACAGTACTAGAGGTCAGAAGTAACTACCTCGGGGCCTGCGGGGCCGGGGTGTTACAAATGGTATCAGAGCAACCCTGCGACAGTGTGCTGATCCGTTGGATATCGGGCGGGCACTTAGCAGGGGAAAAGATTCTGGGATATGATTGAGATTGGTTTATGGGCGCAACGAGGACGTTGCGTTCCTAAGTGGGGGTGTTTGTAATACTTGAGATTTAATTTAAACGGATTAATAGTACTACTCATACCAACAAGGTGCATCTCCTTTTAAGGGAGCTCATTAGCCAAAAAAACTCCAAAGTTAAGCGTGCTTGCACGGGAGTAGTCTTGGGATGGGTGACCCCCTGGGAAGTTTCTTGAGGCGCGCACGAGTGAGGACAAAGTGCGCGGAAAAGGCTAGTGGCGGTTTGTGAGGACAGTACTAGAGGTCAGAAGTAACTACCTCGGGGCCTGCGGGGCCGGGGTGTTACAGCATTCTTCAAAGCTTTTTGCTATAAAATAAACACAAGTAATGATTATAAATATCAACAATAATGTATAAATGATGCATCCTGCTGTTTTTCTCAAAATAAACTACGAAACATGCTATAGCAAAGAAACTCCTATTCACTACGTTTACTACTACAGTAAGCTTTAAGACTTAAATATACTTTGTTAAAAAAATTAAAATTCATTAACGCCAGCATATCTTTAGGTATAAAACATCTTACCAGATATGAAGGGTCGCTCCAGCAATTACATAGATATTCCCAATCCGATTCGCTAACACCCTCATAAGGCTTACCCTTTGCCTTCGTCAGATCACCTGCACCTCCAACTGTTTTAAAATGTTCACGTAACGTACGTCTATAGTTATGCCAAGCTCTTTGCATTTGTTTATCAATAGCTTTTCTGACATTTGCATCTTCCAAATCAACATCAAATAATGTCTGCATAACAAAGAGAATAATAAGTATGATTAATGGTTATATGAAACTTAGTGGAAGATGATGATAGTAGAGGTATAATGTTATGATCTAGAATTAATATAAATCAAATAACCTTATTTTGAAATCTATGGAGGAGGGAGAATATTTTATGTGATCCTATGCTTCACATCCTACGCTATTTGAATAATAATAATCAAACTACAAGAAGTTTGTAGTGTGAGTCTTCATGTATACTTACTCGAAGTTTGTCACGAAGTGGTGCTCTTTCTTCTTCAGGTACAAACCTCCATTCTTTGTACTTAAGGCCGCAATACGTACGCAGGATATATCCAACTTCATTATTGAAAACCTCTGTGTTGTCACATATTGCTTGCATAAGGTCAAAGTCAAACTTTACCGTCAATCGTGATTTAGCACTCCTCATTGCTTTCCGGGCACCTTTACTGCATGTTATTCCACGCACATTTGAACCTTGTTCTGCGGATTCATTATTGACAGATGAAACTTGAGTGCCGCTTTGAGTTTGGTCTGTAAATAAAATTATATTAGATTTAAATTACAATCTAACAATCTAAAGTCTTATTTTTTGTCTAGGAGAATGTAAAAGTCCATTAACTTCCGTTTTTTATTTTTTATTCTGCATAAATTTTCCATAAAAATCCAGTTTCTATTTTCAAGACATTAAGTATTTCAGTTTTTAATTTTCTTTTCATAACTTCAGTTCTTCATTGGGAAAATTAAAAAGCCTTTGAGATTTATTGCTTGTAACACAACTGGTTTACCAAAAACTATATGCTATTAAGTTATATCACATGCCATTGAGTTCACAAAAAAACTAAATATAAAGATGTAAATATCAAACAAAACAACATGTCACATCTCATAACTATTAATGTCGTGGTGACCTATATGAAAGAAGTGTTCAAATTGTCTAACTGCCTATAGTTTAAAGTTAAGAGATGGAAAGCAAAACATGTTTATTTTTAGACTTCTACAAAGCACTGGTAAACGACACACAAATATATACATATAATACCAAAGACAAAGAGTAAACGAATAATTGCTAATTATTGATATAACTAATTTAACCTGCTTGAATCTCTTCCCTTGCGGGTTCATCTGCAATTGGAATACTGCTACTTCCACCTCTCATTGAAACTCGAGTGTCTCTTAGAGAATGAGCTATTTAATTACATTATAAGGAATATTCAAATATTAAAATAAAGGATTGAAATAAACATTTTTTATGTTAGAGATAAAACAATTCTAAACCAAAATGCTAGATTTTTTATATGTATAAAACTTCGAGAATTAACATCTAGAAGATATATAACAAATGCTGTTAATTAATAGGTGCAATATTTACTTAACAAATGAATAACTGCGAGTTATTGATATAACTAATTTAACCTGCTTGAATCCCTTCTCTTGCAGAATCATGTGCAATTGGATTACAACTACGTCCACCTCTTGTTGAAACTCGAGCATCTCCTAGAGAATGAGCTATTTAATTACATTATAAGGAACATTGAATTATTAAAATAAAGTATTGATATTTTTTTTTATGTTGGAGATAAGTACTTATATCTTGAATCAATAATTACTTTGAGGCAACCACAGTAATCTTGTTATTCTAAATCATGCAACCAAAAGAAATTATCTTTTTAAATAATCCAAGAGAGTAAATGTACAGTTGATAGTTATTGATATAACTGACCCGTTTGAAACTCTTCTGATGCAGATCTATGTCCTATTGGATTCCTCCTACACCCACCTGTTGTTGAAACTTGAGTGTCTCTTAGGAAATGAACTATATATTTTGAAAATTAACTCATGAGAGATAAATAACAAATGTTATTAATTAATAGAAACATTGATTTACTTAACCTGCTCGAAGCTCTTCTGTAGCATGTTGATCTTCAACAGAAATCCTACTACGTCCAACTTGTGCACCATATCCACCTCTTTTAGAACTAGCTATGGGAAACCTGCAACAAAGATTCAACAAAGAATTAAAATCATGCCATAGTGAAACTATGATATATACATATGAATAAGTTCAAACAAAAATAACCCAAGACTAAATTTATGCCATGCCATGGAGTCATCGTCACTGATATTTAGTTCTAATGCATCAGAGTCTTTGTCACTCTCAGACTCTAATATCAATTCATTGTGAAAGAAAAGCTCTCCATCGTCAGGGTCATAATCTTCAACATCTTCTAAAGAATCTTCATTTTGGATATGCATTGACGTTTGATCCCGCATTTGTTGGACAACCTTATTCGGTAATGCCATTGGCTCTACATCTTGTCGAACTAAAAGAGGTGTGTCATCAATTTCTTCTATTGGATGAAAAGATGGTAACTCACTAGCATCTTCCTCTTGAAATATGTCATCACTAGCATCCACATTAGCATCATGCTCTGGTATATCATATATGCAATGATGATTTACTTTTTGTACAACCATCCAATTCTTGCCTAAAGCTTTATCGTCTAAATAAAACACTTGTCGAGCTTGTGTGGCCAAAATAAATGGATCTTCGGTGTACCACTGGGATGATGTGTCAACAGATGTCAGTTTATAATTAACCACCATTGTTCTCCCCTTTGGATCAGTATTATACCACTTGCAACGGAACATGAAAACCTTCCTTCCAAGGATGAAATCAAGTTCTAAAATTTCAAGTAATACACCATAATAAATGGTATCACCATTATCATCTCCAGTGCATACTCCGCTACATTGTGTCTTGAACTTGTCATCACGTTCTTTGCATCGAAATCTAACACCATTGACTATACAACTTTGCCAAATTGTGTAATGATCATCCGGTAATTGCGATAAGGAATACAAATCATCACTAGCTATCGGATCACTATTTACTCTAAGTATAGCCATCTGAAAACCGAATATTAAAATTATAAATTGTTAAAATTAAAAAAAAAGTTGATTTATACTTATATACTTAATATATAGGTTTTACCTTTTTTTGAACCAAGCAGGAAATTCACGTTTGTGAATATTGTCCCATTCTTGTGCACGTGAGCTTGTCAAGCAAATAAGTTCCTTATGCTCTCTAAAGTGAAAAATAAATTACTTATAATATCAAATAAATTAAAAATAACTAGAAATGAAATTATAATGGAAAACTCACTTTATGTAATCATCGAGCTCACTTCCACAATTGTTAAGAAGGTACCATTGCACCACATTCCCATCTAATCCTAGATTTCCAAATTTAGGAGCTCCAAGTGTTCGTATTTTGTGGTTAAACACGTCCATCTTATAGTCTTCACTAGAGAGGTCCCAATTGCGCTCTGGGCGTGTAAATCTTGTTTCAATATCAGTTAAATATCGAGATAAGAATGTAATAGCCTCATCGACCACGTAAGCTTCAGCAATAGATCCATCAGGCCGAGCATAATTACGCACATATCCCTTATAAGTACCCATGCGCCGTTCAATTCCAAACATCCATCTAGGAGGAGCTGGACCACCCAATAATGCTTGTTCTGGTAAATGCACGCACAGGTGAACCATGATTGTAAAAAAGGACATCGGAAAAATTTGTTCAAGTTTACACAATATGATCACAATCCCAGTTTTCATGTCCTCAAGTTCGCTAACATATAAGGTCTTTGCGCATAACTTCTGAAAGAATTGACAGAACTCTATTAGTGTGATACGTATTTTCCTATCGAGGAATGCAAGAATCGCCACTGGCAATATCTTTTGAAGAAATACATGACAATCATGAGTTTTCATTCCTCCAAGTGTATTTGCATCTGTGACACATCGACTAATATTGGAAGCGTAACCATCTGGAAGGCGAACAGACTTGATAAACTTGCAAAACTCCTTACAATCATCTTTAGTCAAGGTATATTTAGCATGTGGTTTTTCAAATTTACCATTTCGTTCCCTCAACCACAACTCCTTGCGAATGTTATGATCTTCCAAGTCAAGACGTGCGTTCAAAGTATCTTTTGACTTTAGAGGATCATTCAATAAGGTCCCGACAATATTATCGCATACATTCTTTTCTATATGCATTACATCAAGATTATGGCGCATCAACAATTTCGACCAATAAGGGAGTTTAAACAAGATGCTCTTTTTGGCCCAATTCAATTCATTAGCACCACGTTTGCGTTTCTTATCTTTATTGTTCGTAGCTTTTCCAGGTGTTCCATTATGAACCTCCTTTAGCTGTTGTAAAATGACATCTCCAGAAAATTCTCGAGGCGGTCCTCTTCTCTCTGGCTTGCCATCAAATCCCCTATTCTTTCTCCAGCTATGTGTATCGCTTAGAAAGCATCGATGCCCTGTATAGCATTGTTTTCCTCGAATTCGTTTCCATCTGGTGTCCTCGAGGCATACAGGACACGCCATTCTTCCCATAGTGCTCCATCCAGACAAGTAAGCATAAGCGGGGAAGTCACTTACAGTCCATAGAATTGCTGCCCGGAGAGTAAAATTTGATTTAGAATACTCATCATATGCTTCAACCCCATCTGTCCATAAAATTTTAAGTTCATCTACAAGAGGCCTTAGAAACACATCAAAATCCTTACCAGGCGACTTAGGACCAGGAATTAATAATGCTAAAAGATAGTTACTTTTATGCATCATACTCCAAGGCGGCATATTATAAGGCATCAAAATTACTGGCCACAAACTATGTGATGTTGACATATTACTAAATGGGTTAAACCCATCAGAGGCCAACCCCATTCTAACATTTCTCGAGTCTGCAACAAAATCCGGATATAACTCATCAAAGTGCTTCCAAGCCTTCCCATCAGCCGGATGACGCAGAACTCCTGGCTCTTCCTTGCGCACTTCTTTATGCCAGCGCATGTCTCTTGCCGTGTGACGTGAAGCAACAGACGTTTAAGTCGAGGTCCCACCGGGAAATACCGCAACCTCTTATGTGGAATCTTATTACGAACATATCGATTACATTTACATATAGGACATGTGACATCATTCTTATGATCACCATAGAACAACACACAATCGTATTTGCAAACATCAATAAGTTTGTAACCTAAACCCACGTCACAAAGTAGCTTCCTAGTTTCGTAATAGCTTTGTGGACAATTATTGCTTTGTGGGAGCACTTCATGTAGTAGCTTCAACAACATTTCAAAGGAACCATCACTCCACTTATTCATCACCTTTATTTTCATCAATTTTACCACGAATGTCAATACAGAGGATGTATGACATCCTACAAATAACGGGGTATCCAGAGCTTCATATAGTTTTTCATAATGAGAATTTTATGCCGTGAGTTGCTGATTTGTAAGAAATTCAGTGGTATCCCCAATATCAAAATATTGATTACCAAATGCATCATATAGCCCTGCTCTCAACCCATCAAATTCATCATTTTCAAACTCTTCATTACCCGCACCTTCATCATCAGATTCTTCTTCACCGTGATACACCCACCGTACATATGACCTATCAATTCCTTTAGTTATCAAATGTGCTCTGATGACATCAATAGAATGACTCCTTGAATTAAGGCAATTACGGCAAGGGCATGTTGTCAATCCCTTACGATCTAAACTCTGTTTAGCAACATTTATGAATTCTTTGATGCCAGCCACATATGCCGGAGCGATCCGATTTGAAGACTTCACCCAATCATGGTTCATATCATGAGTATTCTACTAATGATAGCAAAAACATGGAAACAAAAACATATACAAACACTGGCTTAGAGAAACATTCCATTTAGTTAGGTTAGATGTTGACAATTTATATGTCTTTTGAACTTAAAATGTGAAACTAGTAAAACCATACTTGTTAACCTTTGGATTGAAGGGAGATCTGATTCGTTTGTTTCTCGAACCTGCAAAACTTATACAGAAAATAATGTAGAAGCAACTAATACTAAAGAAAGTATATTTAAAGTCTCAAAGTCATCTATTTAAAGTCTCAAAGTCAACTAATACCTTATTACTTAGTGAAATAAGAATGGAATAAACTGAAAATTAACTAATCAATAAACTGAAAGGAATAAACTAAAAATTAACTAATCAATAAACTGAAAGGAATAAACTAAAAATTAACTAATCAATAAACTGAAAGGAATAAACTAAAAATTAATTAATCAATAAACTGATAGGAATAAATTGGAATAAACTAAAAATTAATTAATCAATCAACTGAAAGGAATAAACTAGAATAAATTGAAGATTAATTAATCAATAAACTGAAAGGAATAAACTGGAATAAACTAAAAATTAATTAATCAATAAACTAATGGAATAACCTGGAATTTAATTTAATGGAATAAGCTGGAATTCCCTAATCAGTAAAAAACATAGTAAAAGTGAGCTGAAGATCCCTGTAATAAGGCTTCAGGCTGAAAGTTTTAAACTAAAAAACAGAGTAAAAGTGAGCCGATGTTCAGACTATGGAGCGAATGAAATAGGACCTGCGGCTCACCTTCTTCACCTGCAGATTTGGATGGACTCTGGAGTGAGGAAAGATTCGAATGACTCTAAACTTGAACTTCTAGCGACGAGACGAAAACACTAAAACTTAAAAAAATGACCGGTCAAACGACCGCTTTTTGTGAGAAGCTCTGAAAAGCAAGGTCAAGAAAAGTGCTGGAAAAGCTAGGCTTTCTCACAGCGAGACGCTTCTCAAAAGCCAAGCAGAGTTTGAGCGCTCACCTGCGCTTTGTCACTTCTGACTACTTTTAACAAGTTTGATCAATATATAACAATAAATTATGGTTTAGGAGGTATCTTTTGCTTTTGAAAATACATGTAGCAACAGTATTTTATTACTTCTAAGAAAATAGACATGAATGTTAAAAAAGTGGAGTAGCCATATCTAATTAAATTGACAACAATATATCATAATACATGCACAAACAGTTTTCAAATATCGAAACAAAGGCTACTGTGAAATTCCAGCTTTAAAAGGTCCTTTGTATGGGTCTTGTTGTTGGTAATGTGGCAATGGAAGATAAGCAGATTTTCCAGAATGTTCAAATGAGTGTGAATTTATTTGTATCATTGCTGAAAAAGAACTGGCAAAATGTAAGGTGCCTGTACCTAAAGACCACAATGTGAAGGCGTATTCATATCTTTTAATTTATGTTCTTTGTATTCTTTTGTCAAGTTCTTCCAAGGAGACATGATAATTTCTTAAAGTTATTAGTAGGTACTAAGAACTGTTGATCAGTCTTGTACTGCAGTTTTCCAAGACTTGATTTTTACAGCATCTTGCAATTTGTTTTGTTGTGACGTGAATAAAAAAACAGTTCTCAAATATCGTACTAATACATAAAAAACACGCTCAGTAAAAGATAAATTAACAATTGCATTACTACTATAGCAGACTAGCAGTTCTACAACCTGGGAACAGTTTCAATTCTCATCATTCGTCCCCTATTATCACTATAGTACCTCTTTATGCTCTCTTTATATCAAAGTTCAATATGTAAGACCTAACAGACCCCAAAAGAAGAAGATAAATGGGATGAGAAATGGGATGAGAAGCCTCTTTTAAGTGCAGCAGCAGAAAGAGGCGAAACCTGAAACTTCCGAACCATAAAAAAGACTATGTGGTTGGACTTAGACCATATATTTCAGAAGGTGCAATTATAGAAGATACTGATGGGAGCAGACTACTATGAGACGGACGCTGAAAAAAAAAAGCTTTTGCCTTCAAAGGGAAGCGTTAAAGCTTCTGCCTTCAAAGGGAAGCGTTTCAACTGGCTGGGATGGGCAAGAACTCCAACATTAAAAGGGTAGAAGAGTGTAGCACCCAATGTTCTAAAATTCGCTAGGCGCTAGTCGGGCGGTCAAGCACCGCCTAGCGCCTGGGCGGACTAGGCGCCGATTAGTCGCCGATTAGGCGGCCAACTCGGTTTCAACATAATATCAAAAAATAGAATATTCTTGCCGAAAATACTACATTACACAAATTAAGTTTAAAGTTTAAACATAATAAAAATGTTGCATACTACTTAGTTTAATAATTAATAAGTTAGGATAACTAGGTTTACAATAATAATTAAAAGCCATAGGCGAGTTTTATGATTTACTATTTCTCTTTTTAACTAAAAGCTAGATTTTGGTTATTAGAAAAAATGATTTTCAGTTTCCTTTGGTGTTGTTCAAATAACGTGGTTGTTAAAATGCTTAGTATAATTATGAGTGGTTCTAGTTTATTATACTATGGATATCATGTAACTCTTACTATCAGAAAACTAAAACCTGGGAACTGCCAAGCACCTTTACACGAGGTTCCAAGTCTTTTGGGCTACTCCTATTGATGTTGAACTTATGATAGATTGATAGAACATAAAGTCTTAATATTGTATTAGAGCATATTAAGTTCAATCGAGCAATTCCTTACAAAAACAATGCATATGAAAACTTTGGGGCTATTTTTCGCAGTAATGCAAACTTTTTAGGATAACATGACTACATTGTGAGGTGCTTGTTTCTACTTATTAAAGCAAATTCTACTGTTTCAAACAACTACAACCAGAAGAATTAGTTTTCAAACAACTACAACCAGAACAACCCTAAACCTTACATTATTATTTAGTCAATGTAAGGTTTACAG